CGATTTATAAATCTCAACCCGATTTATAAATCTCAACCCGATTTATAAATCTCAACCCGATTTATAAATCTCAACCCGATTTATAAATCTCAACCCGATTTATAAATCTCAACCCGATTTATAAATCAACTCAACTTTTAACTTTTCAAAATTACTTTTGAATTCTTCAGTGGGATATGTACGTGTATATGGGTGTGTCTTTGCCGGGCGTGCATGTGGACTTGGGTCTCAGTTGTGGGATGTGAGTGTGTTTCTGCGTGGGTGGGTGTTCATGTATGTGACCGTATTTAGGTGTTACTATAGCAAAAAGAGCCGCACCGAGACCTACTCTCAAAGCCCATACGCCCTCCCACTTTGACAGTTTTAGATATTTGGTGTCAGACACAATCATACTTTTTAAAAAGAAACAATCAAATCAAATTATTTGATGAAGAAAATACAAGGAAGATTTTATGATTTATTGAAGAATCAGTCTGTTCATTGTCTGAATATCTACGAGATACTGTGTTCGAACTTCTGCTCCATCAGTCATAGAATGATGTTGGACAAGTCATTAACGGTTGCTTTGTCTAGGATCACCCATTCGATAACAAACTGACTACACGGTTGACATACACTAATAGTCCTTGAGGCTAGTATGTGGGTAGTCAGTATGTGCAGGAAGCTTAAGTCATTAAGCGGGGAACTCTGAGTCAGGTCGACCTTCTGTCCAGACCTACATTTAGTAATAGAGGTAGGAAAATATCGGACTTTTCGAAACTGTCGTCGGACAGTACCTTACACTGCAAGGTGGCCGAAAGGCCGGATATTTTCTTTTTACTTCTGCTGTTCGTTGTATGCGGAAACGTTTTGAATGAACTTATTCTAACAAAGTAGATTGATATGCAATTTGTCAGAAATTATGATTTTCAATTTGAACGTTCTAACATGACACTAACATCGACATTTTGTATTGTAAATGAAGCATTGTAGAACGATCTAGGTTCGAACCATTCTCTGAATACAATTGAATTTTCAACAAAAACATTCTCCTTTGTTGCTTTCGTTGAAAATCGATCATAAGCATAATTGTGTATTTCATCGGAATTTCAACATGAGTACAAGATGAGTATGAGCAAAGTTGGCATATTGCTTTTTGTGTAGGCATCTTGTGAGTTCGAACGCAAGAGTGGAAAAGGTTGAATTTGCCAAACATTAAAAGAATAATGGATTCTAGACCAGAGACCGAAAACGAATTGAATCGAACTATAACGATGCGCTTTGGTTAGAGCCGAACTCGAATCAGTTGTTTTTAAAACCGAACCGAACTCAAACCATTTCTTGAAAAACCACGTCGAACTGAATTGACCCTAGGTAATTTTCGAAAAGCGAGTGAATATAGACAAACAAATAAGAAAAATGACTAACTAAGCTCAAATCTTTTTTGTGAAATTGTGATGTCTCGGCGATTATCAAACTATGTTTGATCTGTTTTACATCAGAGATTAGGGGTGATGAATTTATAATCACAAAAAAATCATTAAATCCAGAAATAAATTGTAAAAAATTTAAACTCATTTAGTAAATTAAACTCATAAGTAAATTAAATTACATCTAAATATATTAAGTATTTTAAGTTGCAGTTTAATTCATTTAAGTTAATTTATTTGTACGGTTGTCTCTACGAATAAAAGGAACCTTTAACACTCCAGTCTGCTATCAAATATATGTGTATGATTTTTTTACTATCATTAGAAAAAACAGGAACGGAGCGTGACTGTTTTCTTACGGAATTTTCTATAGTGATGATCGGATTTCAATGTAACGAATGCGGCAGAGGAAATTGCCGGTTTTTCATAGACTGTTTTCTCAAGTTAGACTCGACCAGAAAGTTGGGTTCTGATGTTAAAAGATAGAGAATTTTGTGTAGGATTTATTGATATGTTCTCTTTTAAGTTAGCATTTGTCGTTTCTTTGTAACATCAAAATTACTGAATACCACAAAAACATCAACTGTTCAACTACAAAATCAAAAACGCGTAAAAATCAATTTTGCCAAGTTAGACTGATCCAAAATTTCTTTCATGTAGTAAGACATGTAGAATTTTTTGGTACATCTAGTGGTATGTTGGGTTTCATACGCTTAGTTGCCTCCCATTCGAAAACTACAAAACATCGAAAACACGTCCTCGGCCAACGGAATCGGACTTTTCCTTACCAATTTTCTCAAAAGTCGGCCTTAAAAAAACAATCCTTTTTGAATAAACCGACGCAGACTTTCAAGCTCTACAAAATGAACTTCTTTATAAGGGCTGACCTCTTTCTCTAACCGAATGACGAAGTTGAAATGTTTCCCTTGGTATGAAAAGGCGCCAAAAATTGATAATCAGGCATATTTTGTATGCGGCTTTTAAAATAGTAAAGCTTTGCACAATAATTTGGTTTTGTATCTAAAAAAACAAATATATTTCTATCCTTTTCATAGTGTGTTTGGATAGCGTATAGAAATGCACAAATGGCAGTTGTTTTCGTGTTACGGTTATTCTTGTGTTTCGCAGTGGTTTGTGAACTGCTTTTGATAACGACGGCTTTACGTCGACTTGGAATCTCTTACTAATAAGAGGAATGGGGATAATGGACTTTTCTAAATTTTCTAATTTTTTCTCTAATTTTGATTTTGGAATTTCCACTAAAGCATATAGTGGCTTTTGTATGAATACTGTCTCGCTAGGGAACGTGGTTGTTTTGCCATCGGACTTTGGATTTTCAGTGGATGCTTCATAAACTAAGTCTCGAATATTCCGCTTGTTCCATTTGATATTCCTAACTCATTTGCAATATTATTCGTTAGCAGTACAGGCATACCAGGGACAAGTGGTATGCCGGTACGTTCACCGTCTCCACTTTGAATGTGTCTTCAGCAACATATTACAGGTGGTACTGCTATTTCGTAATATTTATCAACCACTGCCATACCGTTCAGTTCTGTTCTGTTCTCAATTCATTCAGATTAACTAATATTACTGCGTCTCTCCACGGCGGTAAATTTAATGATTTAACAATGTTATTTGTGTCCACAACACGTGTACACAGCAATTCATAGTCTTCTCTCGTACAGGTACCTAGACGCAAGTGATCTAATAGTTCACTATAGCGCTGGTTCACGGTTCGCATTTGTTGCGTTAGTTTAACAACGCAGTTAATTTGCAGCATTATACTGCGGCCTGCATGATATTTTATATCCACCTCTCAACACCAAACAACACCAAATTAACACCACCAAATGGAAGTTCTGCTGGAGCACTTTTGCCAAGCGTTATCGTTTCGGCTAAGGGAGCCAAAAGGTTTAGGCCAACCATTGACATTTCATCAATAAATACATATTCAACATCTTGCCATTCTCTTTCTACTTTACTATCATCCGGTCTCACACTTTCGTGTACACCTTGAACCGGTACCAAAAATGAGTGAATTGTTTGGCCGTCAATGTTACTGGCAGCTACAGCTGTTGGAGCTAGTTTCCTTAACGCTCGTTTTCGATTTGTTAACTTAAAATATGTTGTTATTGCTTGGATTAAATGAGATTTACCGGTACCACCAGTGCCTGGTATGCACATCAGAAGCTGTTCTTGTTCTTCACCTGAACAGACAAGAAGTATGAAGGGGTGTTTTTATTCAGTAAAGTTTTAGTGTTAGTCATATACCATGTTTCAAATGACTTTCACCATCAAGATGTCTTGCAATGAGCATAAACGCTAGATGTTGTTCAGCGTTTAACCCTTTCAGGACCGGTTTAATTTTTATATATACAGTGCTGTTCAAAAGTTTAAGACCTTTTTTATTTTGCAATATCCTGGCTTCCATGACAGATAGAGACTTCATCCTTTCGTCAAAAGAAA